TGGTCTTCGTAACCTGGTGGCGGCCGCTTCCGCTGTCGATAACAGGCGTTGGGCTAGTACCCTAGGGCAGCTCGATGGGACCTTATAAATCACACGAAAAGCTTCGTTGGGATCCACGCGATGTCCGGAATCGCCAACATGCGCGAGAACGGCGCTGCTTATGCTCCTCGTTTCGCCTTTTCCCAACCATGTCGGGAGGTATTCCCGTATTCTCTTGGATAGGCGCCGACTCGTACGACCAATATAACCTGCTCCATAGGAGCAAGTGAAGGAATAGATGCACATTGAGGTGGTCTGCGGTGGCAACTTATCCTTACTTTCTCCGCGTAAAACTGGGCTAGTAGAGAATGATATTTGGGCCCCTGCTGCTGAGAAGGTTCGCGAGACAGCTTGATCAAGGCGTCTCCTTAGGAGTTCACTCGCAGTGTCCCCTTGGAAAGGGACATTGAGGAACAAAGTTTTCCTGAGCCCCTCCTCGATGTTATCTGTTGAGCAAATTTTTCTAGTTCTTTGTGTCAAACATCGGACTAGATTTCGTTTTTGTTGGAGGGGTACGTAATTCCAAAACTGGAGTATCTACCAGAAAGCACACAAGGGGCGCTGGGTGACACACCGATGAGTCGAACTCCTCGCAGCTGTGTCATTCAGCAGTAGAATATTGGCGAAACAGGGGGTGTAGGGGTGTCCAGCGGTGGGTTCACGTGATGGTCGTAGTGGTCGCTCACTTGCTTGCAGGTGAGACTACACCTAGCGTCCATTTGCTGGCACCCAACTCTCACCTGTGGCTCCACGTAGCAGGGCTCTGCTCATCGGCCACACCCCGGGCAACCGTCTCGACCGGCGGGCTAAACCAGGTGAGGGCGCTGTGCACTTGTGCCGAGTGCACAGCGTACCGCGGACTCCGCTGGATGGATGGTCGGATGAAACACTGCGCCGGCATCGTCGAGACGAGGCTCTGCCTGGTACGCCGTTGGATAACTGCTGCCGGGACGGGTCTCTGCATCGCCTTCACTGAGACGCGCCCACCCTCGCCGACGGAGACCGCGGACTCACGGCACATGCGGTCGTTCTCCACTACGAACATAAAAGTCGTGGCCCCATAGTGGGATTCGGTCGCGCCAACCAGGCACATGGGCAGCCCGATTCAGGGACGGCACTGCCTGCCCCCACGAGGGGAAGGGCCTAGAAAAGGTGGTCTAAAAAATGCTGGGCACCACGCCGTCTGCAGGCCAGCCAAGGCCGCAGATGCTATCAACACGGTCGAAACAATCAAAATCGAAACAACAACAATACCAATTACAACAACAAAAACCATACTCATTCTTCTCATCCTACCTCTTCCTCCTCTACCTCCGTCTATTCTTCTGCCTATTCTTCTCCTTCGTCACCTTCTTCTCCATCTCATTCCCGTCGCCCCACTCGTTGTCACCAGACTGGCAGGGTGAGCCCGCTCACTCTGGCAGCCTGGAATGTTCGTTCCCTTTTAGACAATCCGAGGAGCAACCGACCGGAACGGAGGACGGCGTTAGTGGCACGAGAACTGGCGCGCTACAAGGTGGACATCGCCGCACTCAGCGAGACCCGTTTCTCCGAAAAGGCCAACTGGAGGAGGTGGGTGCCGGTTACACCTTCTTCTGGAGTGGTCGACCCAGGGCAGAGCGACGAGACGCGGGTGTCGCCTTCGCCATCCGGACCGACATCGTGGGACGACTACCCTGTTTGCCGCAGGGAATCAACGACCGCCTGATGAGTCTCCGCCTGCCGCTCCGGCGAGGAGGCAAGTTCGCCACCATCATCAGCGCCTACGCTCCGCCGATGAGCAGCCCCGACGCCGCCGCAAGAGACAAATTCTACGAGGACCTGCACGCCCTCTTGGCGAATGTGTCGAAGGCGGACAAGTTGATTGTCCTTGGCGACTTCAACGCCCGCGTCGGCACAGACCATACTGCCTGGAGGGGAGTGCTGGGTCCTCACGGTCTCCGCGGCTCCAACGACAACGGCCTGCTTCTCCTTCGCACCTGAGCAGAACACCGCCTCACCCTGACGAATACCTTCTTCTGTCTGCCGGACCGAGAGAAGGCCACCTGGAGGCATCCTCGGTCGCGGCAGTGGCACCTGCTGTATTATGTCCTCCTCTGAAGGCGTGACCAGCGGGACGAGCTGGTGACGAAGGCGATCGCGGGTGCTGACGGGTGGACCGACCATCGCCTCGTCATCTCGAAGATGCGTACTCGCCTACAGCCTCGCAGGAGACCACAAGGTAAGCGACCCCCAGGTAGGCTGGATGTTGCCTTGTTGTCTTTGCCTGCTCACCGTCTCCATTTCAGCAATGAGCTAGCTCAACGGCTAGACAATCTTCCTATCGCTGCCGCCGCCGACGACGCCGCCGCCGCTGCCGAGAACACCTCCGTGGAAAACCGCTGGTGTCAACTGCGAGACACGGTCCAGTCGACGGCGCTCGCCGTCCTCGGTCGCGCTCCCCGCCAACACCAGGACTGGTTCGACGACAACGACGCTGCCATCAGAAATCTGCTTGCTGAGAAGAACCGCCTACACAATGCCTACGTAGATCACCCCACTGAGGACAACAAAGCTGCCTTCTACCGCAGTCGCAGACAGCTTCAGCAACGACTGCGTGAGATGCAGGACGCCTGGACTGCTCGCAAAGCTGAGGAGATCCAAGGCTACGCGGACCGTAACGAATGGAAGAACTTCTTCTCCGCGATCAAAGCTGTCTACGGTCCGCCGACGAAGGGCACTGCTCCTCTCCTCAGCGCCGACGGCAGCAATCTCCTGACTGAGAAGACGCAAATCCTACAGCGATGGGCCGAGCACTTCCGAGGCGTCCTCAACCGCCCTTCCGTCATCTCCGACGCCGCCATCGCCCGCTTGCCGCAAGTGGCGACCAACGCGGACCTCGACCTCCCGCCATCTCTCCAGGAAACGATCAGAGCCGTACAACAGCTCTCCAGCGGGAAAACACCCGGATCGGACGCAATCCCTGCTGAGGTCTACAAGCATGGAGGTCCCCTACTGATGGATCACCTGACTGCGCTCTTCCAGGAGATGTGGCGTCAAGGTGAAGTCCTGCAAGATTTCAAGGACGCAACTATTGTGCACCTATACAAGCGAAAAGGGAATCGCCAAGTCTGCGACAATCACCGCGGCATCTCCCTACTGAACATCGCCGGGAAGATCTTCGCTCGCATCCTGCTCAACCGCCTCAAT